TTTAAAACAATGTTTGGGTGTGTTTTTGTGTTTGTGAGCCTGTCTGCTATCCATCATATCCTCACAATCCTTTTTTCTTCCTCTCTGGTTTTTTAACTGTCTATAATCCAGCACATCCTCAGTTTCATCCTCTCTTCTTCTGTGGTGTATAAACTTACTTCAGTGTTACATGTTTTGTTCATTTATCAGAAGATGGGAGAGGGTTTTGATCCTTGCTCTCACTCAAACGTTTGCATAACCCAGTGATGGAAAACTTAATTAAAAAAAAGTTCTACAAATTCAGAAACCTGTATATTCAGCTTTACTGTACAGAGGATTTTAGACTGACTTATCACCCGTCTGTAAAGTTCATTGGGGTCTAAATGTCCGCTCTTGTCAGGAAATGGAGCTCTTCTTTGTTTATTGTCTTTTTTTAACGTCTGTCCCCGTCCCTCGCTGTGAATCGGTCCTCGCTGGCTGTGTGAGGCGGTGCGACCAGAATGAGAAACACAGACGACACAGAGAAACCCTTCTCTCCTCTCTGCCTCCATACTCGCTGTCGCTATGACGACAGAGGATTTTAGATGAGTAGAGATGCACAGGGGGGGTTATGTGATGCTTCTCGGAAGTGTGTGGTAGTCTGTGTGTGTGTGTCTATGTGACGGAAGGAAAAAGTTGACCACCATCAGTGATTATATCAAGACACACAACGGGAATGTAATCATATAATCATCTGCTGGTCTGCTACGATCTTTCACACAAACTTTCCGTCATAAACTCCTGATGTGACAAACTGCGACTTCTTAGACACAGCCATTTGAAACCTACCTATAGTTTCAAATCATGAGGTACTGAAGAGTAGCCCTCACCTGGCAGCCCTGCAGCGTTCTGCCGCCCCTGGATTGGCTTCAGAGAGCTGGCCAATCAGAGAGGGAGTAAAAAGGATGTGGGTACAAGACAAGATCTGTAAGCAGCAAAACTATAGGGAATAACATATGTTGGGAAAAGAGCACTGGTGCCGTCAACGGTGCCTTTCTGAAAAGTCTAAAGATTTTAAACTTGAGCGGTCACACTAAAAAGGCGGAGCACCCAGAAGAAAGACGCTTTTTCTCCAGGCAGCCAATTTCTGCTACTAACGCTCTCCCCTCGTTGAAAACAATAGAAAAAAGACGCTGCAGCTCAGAAAGAAGCACTAGGTGGGAACGGGGGCCTTATGCAGCCATTTTTTCAACCTTTGTGCCTTGTGAGTTTCTCAGTCACATTGTGCGGTTCACTTAGTGTGTCTCTGTTACATTTTGAAGTATAGGAGACAGACGGAGAGAGAGAGTGTAATTATATTTGTCAGTGTGTGATCATGAAAAGTCCAGGTTGACCAATAAAGCAGCAGATTTACGACGCTGCCCTGTAGGTGTACGCTCGCCCACTTCCTCTCCTCGAGGACGTTTTCTATCAACAGGAACCCATTTCCTGGAACGACATAAAATTTTGTGGCATTTCTGCGAGCTGGGGGGGAAAAGAGGGAGCTGCCAATTCTATTAATGTTGTTAATGAAGCAAAATTTAATGGCCTTGTGTTTTGGGTCATTTAGCTGCCGATGATTTATAGCATCAGAGTAAAATCTGTAGGCCGTACTTAAGTCATTCATGAGCTTAAAATATTTTGGTGCTTCTGAGTTGAATCTTCTTTCAATGTCTCCCTCCTTACACTCTTCTGCTGCTTGCCCTACATTCAGATCCCCCTCGATACTCCCCTCTCCTGCTCAATTATTTCATTCCTTTCCAGAAATGGCGTTATAAATCCACAGCCTCAGCATCGTTAGAGAGACGTGTACATGTTGAAGCTGTGTTAGAAATTCAGATTTATGCACACACTGAGCTTAGAGGATTGTCAGTTGGAAAAAAGTAGAACGAGAAAAACACTTGGAGTGAGTCAGTGAGGGTCCCAAAAACCCAGCCCACCAATCATGAGAGATATGAGATAACTTTTATCATCAGGTGAAACTCTCCTTTATCGACAGGTTAACTTCTCTTTGGTTCCAAATCGCTCTCAGCAGCTCATATAGCTGATGTAGAAGACTCTGGATTACTTCCTCATCCCGATATGTTTGAACGTTGTCACATTTGCATCTTGCATCTGTTCTTCACAGGGGGCTGCTGAAATCCCACATTTTTTATTTACCTCCTAAAAATAAAATGAATATTATACGTTATGCAAACCAAACTGGCTCACCACTGTACACATCTTTCAAAATAACGCTCCTATAAACTGTATGTAACGGATAGCAGCTTTTTTTTTGATGGCTGTGTTTGGTCAGTGTGTAATAAAAAACTGTATTCTGATGGTTGGATTCCTCTGCTGTCCTCCAGCCTCAGACTCCTAATTGTCCTCCCCACCGCCATTGTCTCCCAGCGTGTACCATTCCAGTGGTTTCCTCTGAGTTTTCTGTTTTCAGCTGTAATTCGGCCCCTTGTATGTTTTCATAAGGAACATATATGGGTATAATTGCAGTGTTGCCTTCCTGCCGTGTGGCTAGCCGAGGACTGCTTGTGCACTCACAGGAGGGTCTGCAGGTTTGGCTCGGCTCAGTTTGGTTCAAGCTGAGCTTGTCATTGTGTGGGCCTTGTTTTTATTTTTTACTTTACTATAATTTCTCTGTTCCTGTTGGATTGTGGGAAGCATTTGGAGTAGCTTTAGAGCCGTGTTTCCCAGTGGTTCACTTTTATTTCACTTTACCTCCTGGGGATTTATTGCATTGTGACTTTAAGACTTGGGTACATGATTTTCCCCTCTCTGGAAACACCGTCAAATTTGTTATTTTTGCATAACGTGTACATTAAGGTTATTAGAATTTCCAGTACTTAGGTACTTGGCATATTTAATATGTTAGCAACATATTTGTGCAATTTAGTCAGTGTATGCAGGAGTTTGTTGCAACTTTTGATAATGAAATACAAGAAATTATCCAATATTGGGGGTCCAGGACTTATGGAAACAGGTATCAATATTGTTTGACTTCTACTAGTAAAGTGTCAGAGTTTATAAATGTGGTATCTGGATGACTGTAGTGGACATGATTGTGAAATGTGTGCTGAAACATTGTGGAAGAACTGTCACCTGTTACCTTACTCCACCAGGTTCACCTCTCTTAAAGTCACACACACACACACACACACACACACACACACACACACACACACACACACACACACACACACTCACACTTATCCCTCTGTGCCTGTTAATAATTAATGAGATCAGTCGAGCTGTGGAGCGACGTGTCCCCAGGGCTCGTGTGTTTGTGTGTGTGTGTTCGTGCACGCTGCTCCGTGTGTTCAGTTAGAGCACGACCGGACGCGATGCGTACCAGATGTTTTAGAAATGAGGTGGGTTTCACTGGAACGTAACACATTCCCATGGATGTTTGCGGAAAGAAATTCTTCCTCATCTGTAGAGCATGTTCAGCCCCCCCCCCACAGGGGTAAGCATGTCCTCTGTTCATCACTCCTCCCTGTGTCTGCTTTAATTGGGGTGTGTGTGTGTGTGTGTGTGTGTGTGTGTGTGTGTGTGTGTGTGTGTGTGTGTGTGTGTGTGTGTGTGTGTGTGTGTGTGTGTGTGTGTGTGTGTGTGTGTGTGTGTGTGTGTGTGTGTGTGTGTGTGTGTGTGTGTGTGTGTGTGTGTGTGTGTGTGTGTGTGTGTGTGTGTGTGTGTGTGTGTGTGTGTTCCACTATGAATATGTAGATGGTTGTGCGCTTGAAACCGGTGATTTCTGAGTTTAATTGAGTTGACACTGCACTCCTGGTGGGTAAAATGGTTTCAGCTCAGACCTTAAAGTGGTTCAGGATGATATTTGGCATGCTGTGTGTGTGTCTGAGTATGTGTGGCATGGAGGGGCAGAGGAATTGGCTCAGGCTGCAGTCTGCCAGCGTGGGCGTGCCTTTGTCTATTTGTGTTAGCAGAGTAAAGTCTGAGCTCTCAAACCTGCACACGAGAGGAGAGAGTTACGGCTGCCACTTCAGGCTGTTTTCATCATGAATTAAACGGCTTTGAAAACCGCCTCCTTAACGTCAGATAGCTTTGGTCTCGGGTCATTTGGACACATTATGTGTTTTTCCTTCAACTCTTTTATGTCTTTGGTTAAAGTGATTTTAACATTTTATCTCCCTCGTCTTGGTCTGAGCTGCAGAGTCATTAAACTAAATGATTTTATTAGCTTTGAAGATAACTTGTCTTGTTAGTGTTTTTACAGCCCAAACCACTCAGAGCTGCATGACTAATAGCGATTGCATTGTCATCTCAAAATGAGTTTTGCAATAAACACATCTCAAAAGTCTGTATTCACACAATAAATAAAATCAATGATTTCTCAGTTTTGTGCACCTGTTTGATGGAGGCTCAGGTGTAACAGCTAGTGCGGCCGCTCAGAGCGCTAAGTTGAAGAACATCTTTCAACTTTTCAGAAAAGTGATGTTGACATCACAGCTGCTCTTTTCCAAATGTATGATATAACCTGTAGTAATGCTGCCTACGGGTCGTGTCTTGTACCCACATCCTCCTCGCTCCGTGTCTGATCGGAAAATAAACGACTTCAAGTAAAAAGTAGCGGAGCAGTGTCGGTCATACAGCGGTCGTTGTCAACAGACTGTTGTCATAGAGACAGGAAGGACCTGCAGCGTTTTCTTCTCAGCGCTCAAACGCTTCATGCAAGTTCTACCGAGTCAGTGGACACAGAGCCTTGGTGATTTACTTCAGGAGAAACATGTTGCAAACACAGTCCTGCCAAACATGCAGAACAGCTGATAAAGATATCAGATGTTCATAGATAACATGTGCTCTTTTATATTTATTAACCACACTTCAGTTAGTTTTGGAAATGTAAAACAGAGTTATCACACATTGTACATTTTATCTAGTTTGATTTTTGTTAAACCACAACCCAAAGAAAACTCTGTGAACACTGTTTTATGATTTCTGATTATAATGTTTGCTTTATATTAACGCTCTTTCATTTTTCTGCTTCACAGTCCTCTGCGCCAAAAACCTGGTGAAGAAAGACTTCTTCCGTAAGTACACTTCGCTCCCAGCTGTTTATGATAAACTTATATTTGCTTTTCACACCCTGTTTGCTTTGCCAGTTTGGTTTTTGTGGGAACAAGTTGCACTTAAAAACATAGGCTTCTTTTTTTAGCCTTCGCTGACACACTTGGATTGACTCATTCAGCCGCTTCAAAGGATGTGGATGTTTCACTGCATTTGTCTTAAGAAGAAGGAATTCCTGATATTCTTAATCTGTGATAAAGTTTTGTAGAATCGAGTGGTTACAGTAAATGTTTTGGCCACTTAACTGCATTAAATCCTGAGTTGGTTCCCTCCTCTAAAGCCTTAATAGCTCACGTGTAGGTGTCTTTAGCGTGGGGAGTGTTTTGCTGTGTTTGGGTCGGGCTGTCATGGTGAGGAGGCATGTAAAGGTCTTCTGCTCACTCAGGTGGTTTCTGTGGTGCCCATTCCTGCCATTCCAGCGCTCAGGAGCTGAGCAAACACTCAGCGCTGAAACCAGAGATAAAAACGTCTGCGTTTGTCTTCATCGGAGAACTGGATCCATAATGTGTTTGTCATGTTGTTGTTGTGCTGGTCTGAACCACAGCGGGGAGAACTGGAGGGTTTGAAATGTCAAGAACAAAAGACGTCTGTCACAAATGTTGGGGACAAAGTGACTCTGTTTTAGATCAGTGCTTCTCAAACTTTTATGAAACATGCACCTCTTTGAAATGTTTTACTGAATTACCAAAAGCAGCCGAAAATTTTTTAAGAGCTTTTTTTTTTTAAAGATCTTAAATTCACTGTCGCTTCATTTTCTACATATTTTTGTTTCTTTGATTTAACCATCGTTTTCTGCCAATACTTAAACTGTCATGTTGCAAAGTTTAACAGTAAAAAAAAGGAAACAAACTAGACACGATTAGATTTTTTTTCTTGCCAGTCCCGAAGTTAACACATCCCCTCGAGTGGGTGTGAGAGGTGATGGCATTGATATCTTGTGTCCAGTGGGATCTCCATGGAAGGAATGATGCCTCTTCATACTTTTTCTGTTTGCCAGTGTTTCCAAGTCAGACTCAGTTTCTCCGTCAATTATCTTAGATATGTTCTAAATATTCCACTGGGATTTTTCACAGCGTTCTTCTTTCCTACCGAGACCCCATCCTCGCTTCACCCGACACTGAAAATCTCCCACTGTGAGAGACGTGTGAAAGGGGAACTCTGGTGAATGTCAGGGGTAGACTGTCCTGAATTTGTCCACCAGCATTTCCTGTTTCCAAAATGCACACATTTTTAAACCTGGCCAACCGATTATTGGAGTAAAAGTGGTTTCCATCAGCGATGACAATTTTTAAAAGGAAAACAACAAAAAAAAGCAAAATGGGCACCCTAAAAAATATCTCTTTGTTGATTTAGTTTTGGAGGTATCGAGGTGAGGCAGCACCTTCTTGTATTCTGAAAGCCAGTGTGCTAGAGTAGCCCCCTTTTCAGAGCGTGCGCACACACACACACACACACACACCCACACACACACACACACACACACACACTGCTGTTCTTCACCCGTGGTGGTACAGAGATGTCAATCATCGTCTGATATGTTGTACGCCAATACTGCTGTGTCATGTGTTTGTTTGAGTCTCCTTAAATTGTTTATTTATTTACAGTAAGTTCAGCTGTGGCTGACCGTGGTGTTGTCTCTCTCTCTCTCTCTCTCTCTCTCTCTCTCTCTCTCTCTCTCTCTCTCTCTCTGTCTCTGTCTCTCTCTCTGCAGGCCTCCCTGATCCATTCGCAAAGGTTGTCGTGGACGGTTCAGGTCAATGCCACTCGACAGACACTGTGAGGAACACGCTCGACCCCAAGTGGAACCAACACTACGACCTGTGAGTCCCGTATTCTGTTCCTCACACCTGACCTGCGTCTGCAGACAAATGGGATTGTTGCCACTTCCTGCCACTCATCCTGCAGCGACAGACTTCCTCCTTTCTGGTGGATTCACATCTCTTCTTCTCCCCTCATTCATGATGTAGCTGTAGTATTTTAAAGCTTCGATCCTTTTGCATCCTTTACATCATAACGATAACAGATTCCATCGTTTTAAAAAGTGCTATTAAAAGCATCAAAGCATTGAAACATTTGACAACCTCAATCCGACTCCAAACAGCCGCGCTCTGGCTGCAGTTTAATGTCTGTCTTTTTTTAACCTCGCACCGAGAAGTGTCGGGCTCTGGCATTAACGGGAACTAAACAGAAACACATGTAAACAGCTTTGTCATCTGCTCTCCTACTTATTTAGATACTATGTAATGACATAACTGTTCAGCGCCGGCCAACTGTCTAAAAATGTCCCTTGGAGCAACATTTAAAAGGAACAGAGGAGGGAGGGCTGTCTCCAATAGTATTTTCTTCCATTGACTGGAACACGTGCATGTCTTGTTGTACCCTGATTTCCTTTCCCAAAGATGGTTTGACCTGTGAGAAGAATTCTGGAATAAAAAATAAAAAAAAAACATCGGAGACAGACCGCGTGAGTGAAAATGTGAGAGTGAAAGTTTCCAGTATTCACAGCGGTGTTTATCCAACCGCCGTGCGTAGCCAACAGCGAGAGGAAGCACATGTCTCCGTTTGTTTGGTTGCTGTGGATACAGGACCCTCTCTCTCGCTCTCTACATGGCTGTTACATTTAGTACTTGCATAACATTTGACAAGAAGGAGCAAAAAATCCACGTGCATGTATGCATACTTTAAAAAAAGAAATAAACAGACGAGGAGGAGAACACAAAGCTCCACGTGGCTCAGCGGAATTTCTCTGCGATCATTTTGTCTGCAGACGTCGCTGGCACAAAGTTTATGTCAGAATTCCTGGTGTTTCTGTGCCAGGGACAAGTTTAACATCAGTCTGCCTCCTCGGCTGTGCGTCATCCTTGTTAGCAGATGGAGAGGAGAGGCTCAGGAAGCCGTCTGGTCAGCTCACACTTATTAAAAAAAAAAAAGAGCCTGCTGCAACACCTGGTGTTCCAAATACAGCCTGCTGCTTTAAACCTTTTGGCTGTGATCTTTTATTTCCATTCGTTGTCATGTGAGGTTTTAGAAATTCTGTCTGTGTGTGTCTGAGGCCTTGATTTAATCGGTCAGCCACGGCCCGGCATCCCATGACCCGTCAGTGTCGGTGCAGGATGTGGCCGACATGCCGAGGACAGCAGACTCAGTCCGTCTGGCTGCCTGCCTCTCTCGCACTCTGTCTATTTTACAAGCTTTGTCTCGGGCACAATAAGAGCTCATGGTTGAAATTAAAAGCAACATTAGCACAAGAGCCTCTCCAGCAGTCGGCCAGTGGAGGATGAGGACGCAGTGATTATTTTTGAGCAGCTTCATCATGAGCTCCATGGAAGTGTTTCAAGCCTTTTTAGGAGATTTTCCTCGCAGTCTTACTCGTGTTCTGCTTCACGTGATGATGACTTCTTCTTCAAATTCAGCATCATTAATTAAAACCATCTGCAGCCTTTAAGTGCTCAGTCTAGACTCAAATTATTTAAGACCACTCATTAATTTGTTTTTCCTGCGACTATCCAAGCTGAGTTTTTTTTTTTTTTTAGCAAGCACGCAGTAAAAGCAGCACCGGCATCAATGCTTAATGTGGTTTCAGCACCGGTTCACGGGATCCTTTCTTCACTTTACCTCTGTGTCACTCGACCATTGCTGCTCTCTCTCTCTTGCTCGAGGCAGCTTTAGGGTCTCGCAGCCAGCCTACCAGCTGAACAGCAGCATCTACAGGCTCGGAGGTCATCATGTTTCCCACAGACTCTCAAAAATGAGGAACGGTACGACTTATATTCTGGTTTTTATGTTTTATATATTTTTATATTTCTGCAGTCTCAAGACCACCACTCAGAGGCTATTTTTCCTCGTCATCACTGTGATTAGAAGGAAACTCCCTGCACACAAGATAATGATTTTTCAGAGATATTTATGATCCTGGTCTAGTCTCAGTCTCATCCTGCCTTGCTCTTGTTCTTGACTCGGTCTTGATCCCTAAATGCCCTGGTCTTAGTCTTGTCTGCACTCTGATCTTGAGTATGTCTTGGTCTCGCTCGGACACCGGGTCTTGCCTACAATCAGAATCAGAATCAGGGTTTATTGCCAAGTACATTTACACATACGAGGAATTTGACTTGGTGTATTGGTGCTAAACAATTAACAAGGAAATAAAACAGAACTAGCAACAACTTAAATAATACAGAATAAGATATTACAAAATATAAAATAGAATTTAAAAATGTAAAATATAAAAAACTACAGCAGAGATGCACTAAAATCCTTAAAACTGAAAGGCCCTCTCAGGACCTTTAAGTGAACTCACAAAATTGAACAACTGCACCAAGATGTCCGTGCATAACTCCCGGCAGGTTCAGTAGAATCCCCTTTTGTAGCAGACACCCCCGGCTGTGAATCACTGTTGTACTATAATAATCTGTAACCAGCAGCACAGAATGGATTAGCCTGTTCACTTGTCCCAACTTTAACAAAAGATGTCAGTCAGTTTGAGGAGATCAGCACTTTCCAGTCTAAACTTGTTTAATCCTACAAGAGAAGCCTCCGCTCGGTTTCTGTTTCTATTTCAGACTGAGACTCTATTGTTGCTGTAATGTCGTGTTTTTCTTTCACTTTGACCACGGACATGTTCTTGGCGAACAACTCAAAACAAAAGTGAAAGATGCCTCTTCTTAGAACACAGCCTCTGAGTAAAGGATGTTGTTAGAAAGCACATCTGCTCATTTCTCTTTTTTTATTGAAATGTTCCCATTGTCTCCTCCGCTCTGTGTGTGTGTGTGTGTGTGTGTGTGTGTGTGTGTGTGTGTGTGTGTGTGTGTGTGTGTGTGTGTGTGTGTGTGTGTGTGTGTGTGTGTGTGTGTGTGTGTGTGTGTGTGTGTGTGTGTGTGTGTGTGTGTGTGTGTGTGTGTGTGTGTGTGTGTGTGTGTGTGTGTGTGTTACAGCCTATGACTGGTATTAAATATCTCAGCCAGACTAATGAATTTTATTACATGGAGGGTGATCCAGATGACTGGGGCTGGATAATAATACTTCCCTCTCGTCACGTCTGTCTGACTGAGCCGCTTTCTCTCTCACATCGCACCCCAGACAGGCATTTGGCATCGACTCAAAATGTCCAGACGTCTTACTCACAGCCCCATTGTTTCATATCCCCTTTGGTAAGCAGCATGATAATAAGGGGGGGATGCAGTTCTGCGAAATTGTACATGATTAGTTTTAAGCCCACCCGAGCAGATGTACCACAACAGGTTCACATGTTTGATCACAGCCCGACCCTGACCAGGAGTGTGACTTCATACTATAATAACTTTATTTATATAGCACCTTTAAAAACAAATGTTAACAAAGTGCTGTGATGGACAAAGCAAATACAGCAAAAACAGAGCAGAGATCAACAGAGAGGGCAAAATTGTAGGAACAGGAATAATATAGATTCAACAGGCAGGTATGGAGAGGCAGTTCAATACAATGAAGGAAAATTTGTTTAAAATCAACCAGGAGAGAACAAAATTGAAATTAAGGGAGAGTGGGACGACATCACAGGCTGCAAACACAGAATGAAGATAAAAAGAAGGGATAAACGGGACATTGGTTAAATGAATAAAGCAACAGAGAGCTGAAGAGTTAAACGATAAAAGGAGTAGGAATTTTAAAAGACTTAAGAGCAGTAAAATTAATACAGGAAGGGATACATTTAAAGGCTAAAACATTTAAAGAGAAAGTAAAAGGTTAAAATCAATAAAATTAATACTAATACTATACTGGAGCTGTCATGATACCACTTTGATACGATCTGAGTAAAAACAAAACAATATTTATACCTGTTTTGATACCACAGCAACAAAAAAGAAGTCCTACGCTTCCAGTCTGCTGTCTGTGAATTCACATTGAGTGTTGGTGTTTGTGGAATTCCACATACACACAAAGTCAGACATGCACACACACACACCTAGCGCTGCGCTCCCCTGCTGGCTGAGCTGATCGCATCTTGCCTCTGTAACTACCCCTTAAGACACTACAGAGGGGGGATCACTTCATCACCCTATAACACCTCCATGACGTTGAGATTGACACATTGGAAACGTCACTGGGGCGTAAATATAAAATTTTGAAATCTGTTGTCCACTTTGTGTTTTTTAATCACAACTTTAAGGATCATCAATCAATCAATAAAACTTTATTTATATAGCACCTTTCAGACAAAAATCATAATAATCAAAAATATAAAATCATTGAGAAACTAATGCACACCAATAAGAATTAAATGAAAAATATATATAAAAAATCAAATTAGCAGAGATTTTCATGAGCGTCTCTGCTCCGAGGGAAACGCCAAGCGAGTTAAATAACTAATGATACAAATTTGACATCACATTGGATAACCGTTAATACCCAATTACATTTTAAATTAAGCTGGTTTAATAAGGCTGCTCGTTCTGATTTCTCGTTTAATCCAAAAGCCCCAGAGGGTTGAAAGCTGGGGGTTAAATGTACCGTCTGCTCCACAGCTGTACACATTTATTTTTTTTTATTTTTTTTCACATTTTTGGGCTTTTTGTGCCTTTTAATGGAGAGACAGGACAGTGGATAGAGTTGGAAATCAGGGAGAGAGAGAGAGTGGGGAACGACATGCGGGAAAGGAGCCAGGTCAGATTTGAACCTGGACCGCGTGCTTGGAGGACTACAGCCTTCACACATGGGGTGCACACACTAACCTCTGCGCCACCAGCGCCCCAAGCTGTACACATTTTGAGACACACTTCAGAGCAATTCATTTTTGCTGCAGTTTGTCGCTGTTCATCAAATCTCCGTCATCCCTCTGACTCTCACTCGGCCTGCCATGTGGGCTGAGCTGCTGTGAATATCATAAATGATTCACAGAGTCACAGTCTGCCTGCGGCGCTCTGTCTCATACTCAGACGCTCAGGGTCACACTTACATGTTCACATACACTGAGTGGGAAAATCCCTCTCAGCCCCCTCTTCCTTCCTCTTCCTCTTCCTCCCCACGGACCCTATGTGACTCGTAGAGCGTCCTTGACGTGGCAACTCGATGGTAGCGGATGTGTGTCTCCCCTGCATTGCTGGGGACATCCTGCGTGAGACTCTCAAAGTGTTGCATGCTGACATGACGTCATTTGTCTCTTAGCCTGTTTACAGAATAATAATATCGTCTCTCTCTCCCCTCAGATATATCGGGAAATCAGACTCCATCACCATCAGCGTGTGGAATCACAAAAAGATCCACAAGAAGCAAGGGGCTGGTTTCCTGGGCTGTGTCCGCCTTCTGTCCAACGCAATCAACCGCCTTAAAGACACGGGCTGTAAGTGTCAACGCCATATTAATGCACTCTCCTATAAAACCGGGTTTCTTAATGCATTTTGAAGTTGTGTGGGGTCTGTCGCCAATCACCATCACCATCACCCTACACTTACAGAAAGAAAGCTGACTGGATACATTACTGGGAAATGGCTTCTAGTAGAATCAGTGCCAGACAGTTTTAGCGTCAAGAAAGCGTTCTGCAGTGATATAGACGGTACCTGTCCATTAGGCACAAAAACCTGGGAGGGAAAAAAACCCTCAGTTTTCCCTCGAAGCCCCCGACACTGTTGCTTTCCTGGAGCGACGCAGGAAACCTGAACCTTGTGCCACAGCTGCGAGCGGTTTGTTTGTGCGTTTACTTTCTCTGCTGGCCTCCTCCTCACCCCTCAGTTTCCCCTTCAGCCTCCTGCACAGACGGGCAGCACACACATACACAGACACACACACACAGACACACCCAAACTCACAAAATGCCATCGTGACCTTCTCGATCTCTCTATCTCCGTCTGCCGATCTAGACAACTGGTCATTCCACGCAGACATGCATAATTGTACCGCTGTTTAAGTGTAAGCGCAGATTTGTTGTGTTTTCTTTGTTGTGGTCTACCCCCTCGTGTGTGTGTGTGTGTGTGTGTGTGTGTGTGTGTGTGTGTGTGTGTGTGTGTGTGTGTGTGTGTGTGTGTGTGTGTGTGTGTGTGTGTGTGTGTGTGTGTGTGTGTGTGTGTGTGTGTGTGTGTGTGTGTGTGTGTGTGTGTGTGTGTGTGTGTGTGTGGTTTAGTCCCCTCCACAGGGGCTGAATAAGGGCATCTGGTCGGCTGAAATGTGTGTTTAAATGCAGAGCGTGTCTGATTTACAGTCACATTTATGTGTAATTGCAGAGTGTCTTTGTCCTTGACTTCATATTTAAATGTAAATGTCCTTTAAGTACACTCCTCTGCGTATATTTTACCGTGTGTGTGTGTGTGTGTGTGTGTGTGTGTGTGATTTGTTCTCTCTGTGGCTGCTGACCTCCAGCCAGCCTTGTAACGGTTTGACCATTGCCTGTTATGGTCCGTGTTTAGTCTAGACAGACATCCTGAGCTGATCTGCATGACACCCAGACAACAGAGAGAGAGAGAGCAGATAGTGGCATTTCTCATGTCTGCAGGCAACTTTTTTTTTTCTTTTTGGTCTATTTTTTCTCTCTGTGTTTCTCCCTCGCTCTCAAATTCCTCAGACTTTTAAGAAGTTCAGACAAAGAGTTTCCAGACTTTGGCACAAGTTCACGTCCATGCGAAGACTGAGAGGAACTGTGCAGGCTTTGTACTGAAATTTGTCAAATGTTTGACCTCTGCATTTGAACTGAAGCCGGCTCTGTACCGGTGCTTGTGAGGTTCTTTTTTTTTTTACAGCCCCTAGCTGCTCCACAGACCAGACCATCTGTTCCAGGGCTGTGCTGAGCTGCGGTCCGCAGACAGAAGAATGAGAGGCAGATAATGAGGGGAGAGAGAGAGGAGTGGACTTAAGATACAGAGAGTAAATGATACGGAGCCATGGGACTCATCCAAGGAGCAAAAAAAACACAACACATGCTAGTTACATGCAATCTCTTTTCAGCTCTTTCTTCCAACTTTGACAGAGTTTGCACGATAGCAGATTTTTTAACTTTGAAAGTCAAACAATATCGTTGCTTGTTTCGATCCCACAGGAACAAAAATAGAATCCTAGAGACCCAACATGCAGTACTTCCTGGTTTTCAGTTACCATCACTTGCAGACAAACTCCTGCACTCTGGCTAAATTGCACAAATATGTTGGCAATATGTCGGCACCAGTCCTGTTCATCTCGTAATGTTCTCTCTCTTCTTCTTTCTGCGATCTCTCCCCAGACCAGAGACTAGACTTGAACAAGCTGAGTCCCAATGACAGCGACACAGTCAGAGGACAGATAGTCGGTGAGTGCACATGATCCTAAAAACAAGTGTTTCTGACTCCCTTTTATTTCAGTTTTTTAATTATGATTTCTGATGATTGTGAAGCCACGAGTGTTTAAATGTTGAATATGTTCAGCTGTAGTGTTGCCTCTTCTCATGGCTCAAAAAGCTGTCCAATATATAAATCATGTAAAGTTTAGTGTTAGATTTCATAATGCCACACGCTCCCTGTAGAAGGAAAAAATAAAGAGGAAGAAGAAACCCCTCCTGCTGATTAAATGTAACCCTTGTTCCTGTTACTCATAAAGATATAAAGCTCTGTCTTTATGCTTAGATAAAATATCTGTGGCTGCTCTGTAATGTGCTGTCGAGTAATCTCTCTGTGTGCATCTGTGTGCCATGTGTTTGTTCAGTGAGCCTGCAGTCGAGGGACCGGATAGGCACAGGAGGCCCCGTGGTGGACTGCAGTCGACTGTTTGACAACGATCTTCCAGATGGGTGAGTGACTCCGGGGGGAAAAGTCTTATCATCTCAGGACGAGGGCGTTGCAAATCCTTCACAACAAATGCTGCCTTCAAGCACGAGAGTTTTAGAAAAACAGAATACGATACATGCATGTGGTGAGACAGATCATCGGGGTTAGGTGATTCTGCTGCGGTTTAACCATCTAACTGTGTGTGTGTGTGTGTGTGTGTGTGTGTGTGTGTGTGTGTGTGTGTGTGTGTGTGTGTGTGTGTGTGTGTGTGTGTGTGTGTGTGTGTGTGTGTGTGTGTGTGTGTGTGTGTGTGTGTGTGTGTGTGTGTGTGTGTGTGTGTGTGTGTGTGTGTGTGTGTGTGTGTGTGTGTGTGTGTGTGTGTGTGTGTGTGTGTGTGTGACCAGCTGGGAGGAGAGGAGGACCGCGTCTGGACGAATCCAGTACTTGAACCACATCACACGCACCACCCAGTGGGAGAGGCCGACCAGGTGAGTACACTCACACCACCACCCACGGAAACTCAAACCCAGACCTCTTAAATCACTCGGCAGCAGGCCAATGGGGGACCTCTTCTCTGACCTCGGTGCAAATTGGGGGGGGGAGTCTGTCTGAAACTGGAGTCGTCTTCTTTAAGGAAAGGAAAGAAAAGACAGCGGTGTCAGACGGTGTCTAATGATGTGGAAGAGCCAGAGAAGAAGTCACAGAGCTGAAAATAGAGGCGTCTCTCTCCCCTCAGTGTCTCTGTGATACTGAGGAATAACAAGAGAACCTGATAAAAAACAAAGCTGGACCGCACACAGCGCCTGAAGACTTCCTGATTGCTGCTTATTGATTTTCTGTTGTGTGATTGTAGAGACTTTTATTTAGATAGATAGAGTAGTAAACAAGGAAACAGAGAGGAGGGAATGACAGCCAAGGAAAGGAGCCGCAGAGTCAAACCCTGGCCAGCTTGCATGGAGGATACTCATGAATTTAAGATAACAAGTGACCAGCTGAGGAGGGCGGCGTGGGGACTGTACTTCACAACTTTCACTGCAGGCTGAGAGCTCAAACATCGTACTGTAGCGAGTAGGAGTGCAGACACAGCTGCACAGAAACTGCACATTGTGGACTTTGCTGACCAGGGCGACCTTTTTTCTCTCTGGGAGACCCCCAATAAAACAGACTGCGTCCTATATACTGGTGCGACTTATATTCAGGATTTTACGGTTCTACCTTCTCTCCAAGTCTTCAGCATAAAAGTTGAGTCGGCTTCAGACCAGTTTTGCTTTGCTACTTCCACATTTATATCCATCGCCTGTGGGGGGGATATTGATCCAGATATCAAACTATACAAACCATAAACCACCCTGGAATTAAATAACTTTCTAAATTGGAAATTTGTTGCTGGATCGGATCAGGACCTTTTGACCGAGGTGTTAGTTAATCTGATCATTAGTGGTCCGTGTAAAAAATACCATCTGATGCAGGATTACCTTCTCATTCTTTCTTTAACTCCTCCATGATTATCCTCGTATTCACCATCACTCTCTCCCCCCTAGGCCTGCCTCAGAGTACTCCAGCCCTGGTCGACCTCTCAGCTGCATCGTGGACGAGAACACGCCCGTCAGCACGAACGGAGCCACACCCACCACAGCATTACCCCCCAGTGGCGGGGACCAGCGGGCCCAGGAGAGACGAGTCCGATCCCAGAGGCACCGAAACTACATGAGCAGGACCCACCTGCACACGCCCCCCGACCTACCTGAGGGATATGGTTAGTTTACATCACCATCATTGCACGCCTATCCTTCAAATGGAAACACCATGTGGCGTCATTTATTACGGGATAGCCAGATATTCTCATATTCTATCAACAGAGATAGATTTTTAATTAGTTCAGAGTACGCTGAGAGATTTTTATCCTCTGTTTAATCCGGCTGTTCTCCCGCTGTGAATCGTGTCAACATTGTAATGCTGTTGTGTTAATTACTTCCACCTCTGCCCCGCTCGCTGCTTAAAGACTGGGCCCAGTAACCCGGCTAATCTGTGTGTCCTCATTCAGTCCAGCTCAGCTCTGATGACGCTGCAGCTCGGCAAAAAGGAGCCTGAGATACTGGCTCCGTTTTACACAATCTAATTGAATTGATCTAGCTGTTATGGGCTGGCGGCAGCCATTCGCTCCCCCCCTCACTCTTCTGTTCTCTGTTCTGCACACAGTCAAACAATCGGATGCATTCATGTAAAAGCAAACACACACACAAGCTGTGATCCCCCACACAGCCCAGGGGAGGGTTTTTATCATCACAGTCGAATCTTCTGCAGGATTTTGGGAGCCAAAGCAATAAAGGCACATCAGCACTTAGCTCTCAGAGCTTCACATTACGAGGCTTCTAACCTCGCTTCACATCTCGCTCTGACTCAGTCCTTACTCTCTTCTTCTTAATCAAGATGTTTATTAGATTTTAAATCATGGCTTTCTTTTGTGTACAACAATAATTTCCTGTATGTACTGAACCAGTCCATTAGACTCCTGACACAGCGAGTCTGCTCCCTTTGGAAATATGCTGCATCAAGCTGTCCAGATTTCCCCTCGTCTCTGTCCTTTCCCTTTTATTTCTTGGGCAGTCGCTATAAAACCTGTCATCATGTCTGACTCCTCCTGTGAGCACACGAGCATCACACACTGACTGACGTGCGTGTGCGTGTGTGTGTGTAAAAGGTTATGCATGTACATGCATGTAAAAGCGTGAGGCTTGTCTGAAGGGATTCAGAGGAGAGCTCCTCTCTGTGGAAATGTCTGTCAGACTTTGATGAATGACCTCACCAGCTCAGAAGTCAGACGGCCTCATGTCTCCTCTCCAATGTTCCCCCCCCCCTCGCTGTCTTTCGGGATCTCCACAGACTCAGTCAGTCCTTTTATCTCCGTCTGTGTGATCTCTCTCTTACGCAGACAGATTATGGGTGCAGGATGTCTGCATGTGGCACATGAGTGAAGCTCAGTTTTCATTTTCCATATAAAGCCTGACATCTGACATGCTGTTGATTATAAATCTCATCTTCAAAATAAAAGACTCTCAAACCTTTAAACCTTTTTTTGTTCTCGTTCTACAGAGCAGAGGACCACGCAGCAGGGCCAGGTGTACTTCCTGCACACTCAGACAGGTGTCAGCACGTGGCACGATCCCAGAGTACCAAGGTAAGTCCATGAATCAGACACAGAGATCACACATGACAATGCTTTTCTGCTCATACTCAACGTTTAGCTTTAGGAATGAAAAAAGGTTGGCAAAGCTGACGAAGCTGTCCACATAAAGATGATGAGCTAGGAGGGGAGGGGAAACTTTTTCAGGGTTTGTTTAGATGCCAGACTTGAAAAAGAGAAATTACTTTCACTGTTTAGAACAAAGCTTCCTCTCTGAATGAAGCAAGCAGGGGAAGCTCGGTGGGGGGGACTTGGCTCCAAAACGTTTCCACAGATGTGGATGAAGTTTGGAGCTGCTGACAGCCCTGGAAGGAATTAAGCCCTGATTATATTAATGATAGAAATGTCAAAGTCATATTTACAGACTTCAACAGATCATACATTTAAAAGTCAAACAGAGGCGGAATTGTTTTCCTGATCACTTGATTGATTACCCGACATCTCTCTCCACTTGTAACCCCAGCTGAGTGCAATAAATCCTCCTTTTGCGATTATTTTAGGTCAGGTACAATCACTTCTATCTGAACCACTTCTCTTGCTGCTTCCATGGCTGCAACACCTGTTGACCTGATAACTGCTCTCATATCTGACAAACCGAGGGGCGTCCAAAACGGCCGTGTGGGGATCGCCTTAAAAGCGCCTACCTTCTCTGGTCCAAACAAATCCAGAGCATTCAGGAGCAGAATCTAAAGTTAGAAGGAGGACATACTGGCTGCTGCTTTGTTGTCAGAGAAGCCAGCACTTCAACATAGCATGTTTCCTTAATGATCAGAGAGTAAGATACCTTTATCATCTCACTCTCTACACATCTGACTGATTGGTCCTTTAACACTTAATATAAAACGGGATTACTCTTAAAATTGACCCAACACTAACACACAGATCAAGTACTCATGCCCTCACATAGTTCTCCTTTTGTCTGCTTTTACCACCTTCCACACTCAAAACATCTGTCTACAGCTGCTTTACATTGGCTAATATAACCAACATAACATATAGCTGGTGTCATGGCATCTCTCAGTCCTGGTCCTCGTGTATTTTGCTGAAACCTGCAGCTGATTATGAGCCTGTCATGCTGTGAGAAGTCCATTGTTACGGGGCTCACACGGCGATTTGCTCCTTGGGATGGAGCGCTGAAAGGCTCTCGCTCTGGGACACATGGCTGGCAGCACACACGTCTTAATCAACCATAACAGAAAGTCTCAGTCAGGCACGTGTGTCCTATTGATTATCATACTCCAGAAGAAACACACACTCACACACGTCTGCACAAGCGAAGACGGACTGCAGTGCACTCCAGACGATATCAATAAAACCTGACCGATGCTATAATATCTGGCTCCTGCTGCCTGCGTTCTATCAGTACATGAGTGATAGATGATGTTTTTATTACTCGTGATGCGAGGCTTTCGGGTCACGCCACACCTCGCCGTGTGCTCCAACGTCAGCAGATCGCTCAGCTGCCAAGCACTCGCAGCTCGCGAGGCTCTGGTTCTCTTTTGGTTTCAATCGTGCAAAACAGAGAAGTGAGCAGAAGAATTGCAAGAATTCAATATTTTCTGAAGTATCTAATATACATGGAGTCTTACTGAAGGGTTTGCAAGGCAGAAGATAATAATTATGAAGGACGGGAGAAGAGATGTATTAATACCAGAATGATAAACTTTGATGTGGTGCGAGTAAAAATGGATCAACACTGAATCTGATTCTACACCAAAGCAACAAAAACAGAAGTCCAAGGCACATATTATTGGATTGTTTCTTGTTTTTACTTTCCAAAAATTGTACAAATATGTTGGCAATGTTAAAGGTCTGATCAGTGAGATGAGAGCAGTTATCAGGTCAACAGGTGTTGCAGCGATGGAAGCGGTCAAGAGAAGTGGTTCAGATAGAAGTGATTGTACCCGACCTAAAAAGCCTCTGCATGTTTCTAATAAGCTCCACGAGCAGAAACGTGCTCAAACTAGGATCAATATTGGAGATGCTTTTGAAAAATGGAGAGAGGTTAGAACACAGAAAGGTTTACAGACCCATGCAGAGCTGGATAAACACTGAAGCTTCAGAGTCCACCACATGGTGACCTGAGTGAGCATCCACTCTAGAGGGGGGGGGGGGGGGACATTTCTCTTTTTTTTTTAAATCTGTGCGGACTGATACTTGATGTTGTGTTATTTTTCATTTTCAGGGATCTGAGTAATGTGAACTGTGAGGAGCTGGGTCCTCTACCTCCTGGATGGGAGATACGAAACACGGCCACCGGGAGGGTCTACTTTGTCGACCACAACAACCGAACCACGCAGTTCACAGACCCGCGCCTCTCAGCCAACCTGCATCGAGTCCTAAAGTAAGTAGTTATCCCCCGAGCCGTAGAAATGAGAGACAGAACATTAAAAACATGACGCAAGAGCAGAGAGATTTATTTCCTCTCTTGTCTTTGTTTTCGTCTGCAGTCCAAGTCCCAACGGTTCCAGAGGAGGCATCGAAGCGCAGAATGTCAGGTGAGGTTTTGATGCACACACTCCTCCAGACATGCACAGATTTGCTCACTCCCTCTCAGTCGATGTTTTAATATGGGATCCCGTGCCAAGGTGTGTTAAACACCTGTAGAGGTTCAGCAGCCAGTATGCTGAGCAGACGCTTATGCACACGCACGCACACACACACACACACACACACACACACACACACACACACACACACACACACACACACACACACACACACACACACACACACACACACACACACGTTGAACTCCCACCAGCTTTTTTTTCTGCACAAACATTTGAATTCCTCCTGCCTGCAGAGGTTTTGATCATAAAGGCATTTTAACACACAATCCATCACAAAGTTGGCGCTGGCCTGACATCACACAGCTGAACCGAGGCTGAAGTGTCTGCGACTGAGGAGCTTCAGAGTGTAAGTTTAACGTCCGAGCACATGAGTTAACAGTGCGTGAAGGGGTGGGCGATAAGGCAATTATATCAATATATTCTGTTTTAATTTTTTAGACATTTTGTAAGTTACTGACCAGCACATGCAAACTGATTCCCCCATTTACGCCAAGACCTTGAAAGAAGCAGAAAACATGTATTTTCCTGCTTTCTGAAGTCAAAGTCGTCCAAACAGCACAACTTACAACACCTGAGCATCGTCAGGTAACCTGCACCTGAGTTTTGCTCAGGGTTAGCTGGAAAGAGAGGAGAGAAATATGGGTCATGTTTGTCTGCCACCACAAGAACAACAGAGACACAGAGCAGGAATGTTTTGATTTATGGGTCAAAGAGCAGGAAAAGATGCTGCATGCCTCCTCTCTCCTGACATCTCTCCCACCCTCTGAGCTGTCTGCACTGTTTGGGTGCTGTCGGGAGAGTGCCCTTCCTGTCCCCTCCCCCCTCCCTGTGAGTCTAGTCTGCAGGAAATAAAAGGATTCAGGAGGAGGTCTGCAGCGTCCTTTGGGGCCCTGTAGCTTTCTGGGATAGCAGGAAGTGATTGAAAAGCCAAACAGGATTCAGCTGGGCGGGCAGACAGCAGAAAACAAACTTGGAGAAGTTGTCATTGTGGTGGGGAGAATGTAAACCAGGGCGGACACTTACATACACATTTTTATTTAGCTTTTTAAAAGTTTGAACATGTAGAAAAATACTTACTTTGTGTTATATATGTATGTGTGTGTGTGTGTATATATATATATATATATATATACACACACACACACACACACACACACACAACAGAAAGAGAAAATGTATTACGTAAAACATGTTGAAACATGTACATACAGTATCTTATGCTGATGCTAAAGTGAATCCTGCAGTTCCTGGAGTGTCCACTAGAGGCTGGCTGCAGAAGCACAGGAAGTCACATACACACCCATTCTAAAAAGCCTGTTTTTACAGCAGAGATGAACATGTTTACAGCCTGGTTCAAAAAACCAAATAGGTGTGATTAGCTCATGTCTGGATGGACACACACTGTACGGGGGGGGTGAATGTTTTGATGACTCATCAGTTTTGATTTGATGAAGGATAAGAGTTATTCACAATAAGGCGTGTAGCTGACCTGATTGACAGGTGGGCGCGGTGTAACGGTTTGTCAGGAGGTTTAAAACCCGCCTCAGCTCCAGCTCTCAGCCTGTCGTTAGGTTGACTGTCGTATTTGAAGGATGATCATTGTTGATGTGTTTCACCTTTTAGACCACAGCTGCCATCTTAGCGGCCTCAGCCTTGTGGGGTTGAAATCTGGTGCGTCCCCCTTTGTTCAGAAGTGTGTGTGTGTGTGTGTGTGTGTGTGTGTGTGTGTGTGTGTGTGTGTGTGTGTGTGTGTGTGTGTGTGTGTGTGTGTGTGTGTGTGTGTGTGTGTGTGTGTGTGTGTGTGTGTGTGTGTGTGTGTGTGTGTGTGTGTGTGTGTGTGTGTGTGTGTGTGTGTGTGTGTGTGTGTGTGTGTGTGTGTCTCTCCCCGTGTGCTCGCCTTCAGAGTCTGGTGTTTATGAGCCTGCTCTGGGCCGTGCCCGCCTGCTGCCTGCCCCCCCCCCCAGCTGGAGTGCAAAAGGCCATTGTGCAAATGATCCTTCAGGGCCGGCTCCATAAAGACTCTTTGATTCTCGTGTGTGTGTGTGGCGACCTCTGAGGCTGTCTTCCTAATACATTTAAAAGTTGTTATCTAATTCTACTTTCATCATCGACCACAGATGACGTTCACTTCCACACTCATGTGCTCGGGCGTAGTGTGGTGATGAGTCTAAAGTATGACAAGATCTATTTTCAGAACTTTGTTTCCCCCTCTGTGGGGTTTAGCTGCTGCCCTGTATAATGTAAAGTTCTGCCACCTCTCTGAGCAACATCATCAGACCTCTGCCAGGTGGAGAGGAGGTGAAAGGAAGGTGTGTTACCTCCTCTTATTCCTCCTCCACATCCGTGTGTGTGTGTGTCAGTGAGGGGGCTGAGCAGCTGTTTGACTTGATGTGCTGTCCAGATGAGCTCAGTGTGTTTACTCCTCGCACCCTGCAGTCAGCAGAAAGAACTCCACTTCTCTGAAAGATGTTTTCAGTTTCTTGGCCCTTCTCTTGTTGTTTTTGTCTAAGCTCTTGCTTTTCTTTTCCCCTCACTAGTAAGCTTGTTTGTGTTTGCTATTGGAACATCTCTGAGATTAAGTTTCTGTTGCTCTGTGTCTTACTGTTTCTCTCTCTCTCTCGCTCTCTCTCTCTCTCTCTCTTTCAGTCGTCAGAACCAGTTGAAGGATCAGGTCCAGCAGGCTCTGGTGTCCCCCGCTCAGCTCCCCGAGGAGGCCGAGTGCCTCACGGTGCCCAAGTACAAGCGGGACCTCGTTCAGAAGCTCAAGATCCTGCGTCAGGAACTGTCCCAGCAGCAGCCTCAGGCCGGTCACTGCCGCATCGAGGTGTCCCGAGAGGAGATCTTTGAGGTGAGGAAACTGGCTCTGTCGTGCCATCCAATCATCTGAAGCTCACTAATTGAAAATATTCTGTTTTTTGGGGCCTGTGTTGAGAGAAGAGAGAGCAGGGAAAGACATCAAGATCAACAAGATCCGAGGTCAGATTTAAACCCACGGCAGTTTGTACACGTGGCGGGGACAAAACCACTAGGCCATCGGCAACAAAATTAGTGCATAACATTTTGAAGTTAGTAATAATCTCTCCTGGTCAATCTGCAGTGCCTTAAAAGTCCACCAGGGGGATTCGTGGGGAATCATTTCTTTAGATCATAAAAAAAAAGCAATGCTGTATCTTCCCCAAACTTACAAACAATACTTGTGAACTTGATGCCCTTGTAGTCATTTCATCAGCACACGTTCTTGTTCTTTTCAACCGGCTGATGATTAAAAGTTATTTATAGAAACACCAGAGTTGTGTTTAATATCCCCTAAACCCTCCCCTCACTTTTCTAAAGGTCACTGCCTGGAGACGTGTTTGGCTGTGAGAATGACTTCTCTCACACTCGTGTTTATCTACGATGTGTGAATCCCACCCGTTAAAAAATCTAAAGCAGACCTCTCGTTTGAGATGAAGACATTCTGCAGAACATTTTTTTCTCAGCCGGGGAGGTTTTTCTTCTTCTGCTGTGAAGAGGTGCGGGGCCTTCATCGGAGCAACAACACCTGCAGCAGACTGCGTGACCCTCGTAAAATATGCACTGGAATGTGCTGGATCGGCCGCGTCTGTTAATCTGAACGGAGACATTTTTGTTGGCTGATCTCAGCGTGAGAGAGAGAGGGAGGAGGGGGAGAAAGACGACGTCTTAAGGCTGAGATACAAAACTGCAAAGCGTCTCCAGACCAGCTGAGGTGTTAGGTTACACGCAGAACATGCAAATTGCGAGCCTGTTGACTATCAGATCTGTCCTCGTGTGATTTTCAGCGTTGATAAGACGTTCATGTTTCTCACACAGCACCTCTGTGTTGTCTGCTGTATCTGCAGGGCAAAGTTATTAAAGATTCTTATGTCTGCTGTATTAGAACTGCCCCTAATCCACTTCAAGTGAACCCTCCCTCTGAGCCGTTTGCACGCTGCCAATCACTGATTGATGCAGAGAAATTGGAAATTATAATAAGCATAACTTTTATTTGTATAGAACTTTTTAAGAACAAAAATTAGAGACGATCTTTTCATTAATCACATCGGCCATGAAAAAAAAGAAACTTAAAGGAGCATTATGTTTCTCTGACACCAAGTGTTTAAAATGGGTACTGCAGTCTGAGAACTTTGGAGTTTTTCAGGAGTGTGAAAAAACCTATAACTGATGCTGTAACCGTCGGTTGTATTTTGTGCCCGTGTTGCAGGAATCATATCGACAGGTGATGAAGATGAGGCCGAAGGACTTGTGGAAAAGGCTCATGGTGAAGTTCAGAGGAGAGGAGGGGCTGGATTATGGAGGCGTGGCCAGGTAACAATCAACAGCGGTTCATTAAACATGGAGGATGACGTGTGCTGCTGCCACCCTTTTCCCTTTATCATTTTACACAGTGAGACGTTTAGTGTCTCCCCACCCTTTGGAGGTAGAGTTCGATTTCAAAGTTACAACATGATCATTTCTCAAGACCGAGCAGCAACCTGCGGTGTTGGAAAATGAAACTGATGCTGAAGTGTAAAATCCTGCAGTTCCTCGAGTGTCCACTAGAGGCTGGCTGCAGAGGCAGAGGAAGTCACATGCACACCAATTCAAAAATATTTTTCATGAACGTGTTTGAAGAAAGTAAAAACATTTGTCATATCGGCCGATATAATTGACAGACATGAAATAGAAATAAAAACCAGCAGCAGATATTTTACAGCCTGATCTGTCTGCCTCATACTCATTAAAATCACGTTTAAAGCGTCCAGTGACACCAGTAAGGTCAGGTTTAAGATTTTGGTTTGAAGGTTTGCACGCTCTGTACTCAGATCTAACTTGTATCTCTCTGTGTTCTCCCCGTGTGCGTGTGCGTGTGCGTGTGCGCGTGTGTGTGTGTGTAGGGAGTGGCTCTATCTGCTGTCGCACGAGATGCTGAACCCGTACTATGGCCTGTTCCAGTACTCCCGTGATGACATTTACACTCTGCAGATAAACCCCGACTCTGCTGTCAACCCTGTGAGTCACCGTCGTACTGACCGGGGAGTTATTAGTCTGGTCTATTATTAGATTACAGTGTGTTTGTTTGAGGCGTTTCACTTCAATAACAGTCCCGTTTGCTGCTATTGTGGTTTTAATTTCAAGGAGCTGTTTCAGTCAGCAGCTTAATATCTGCAGCAACAATCTCATAGCGGCTCGCTGCAGTGACCCTGAAGCTCACCCAGTCCTAATCTCACAAGGCATTGGCTCACAATATCACATTTTGGAGACGTGGCCAATTTTGTTCGCAGCTTAGCTAAGGGGTGGATATCATTGGCCAGGCCAGGATATCATTCTTCTGTGAGCTCGGTTTGTCATGATGCCAGAATGATCAACTTCCATATGATACCAGTAAAACTCAAACAATACAAGTCCTAGGCAACAAATTTACTATTTCTTTTTTTTTTTTCTTTTTTTTTTAAAGGAGCAGTATGTAACTCTGACACCTAGTGGTTAAAATGGGTACTGCAGTCTAAATTCTAAACATTGTAGAGAGCTGTCTCCCCCCCCTCCTCTCTAGAGTGGATGTTCACTCAGGTCACCATGTGGTGGACTCTGAAGCTTCAGTGTTTATCCAGCTCTGCATGGGTCTGTAAACCTTTCTGTGTTCTAACCTCTCTCCATTTTTCAAAAGCATCTCCAATATTGATCCTAGTTTGAGCACGTTTCTGCTCGTGGAGCTTATTAGAAACATGCAGAGGCTTTTTAGGTCGGGTACAATCACTTCTATCTGAACCACTTCTCTTGCCCGCTTCCATCGCTGCAACACCTGTTGACCTGATAACTGCTCTCATATCTGACAAACTGAGGGGCGTCCAAAACGGCTGTGTGGGGGGGTGTCTTAAAAGCGCCTACCTTCTCTGGTCCAAACAAATCCAGAGCATTCAGGAGCAGAATCTAAAGTTAGAAGGAGGACATACTGGCTGCTGCATTGTTGTCAGAGAAGCCAGCACTTCAACATAGCATGTTTCCTTAATGTCTGATCAGATAGTAAACCTCCAAACCAGGAAAACGCTTCAGTTCAGACACTGATCTCAGCATTTCCTCTAAACTTGAACACCTTTGATGTTGTTTAGATTTAAGTAAATCCATTTCAGAGCAGCTCTCCAGTCAACAGACACTGGACATAAAGTGAAGTCTTAACCTCAGCAGACTTTCTCTTTCAATCTGTGTTTGTTTCTTAACTTACCTCCAGCCTCTTCATTCAGGACCTGACTCTGTTTTGTTTTTTTCCTCTCTCAGGAGCACTTGTCTTACTTTCACTTCGTCGGTCGTATCATGGGGATGGCGGTGTTTCACGGACACTACATAGACGGAGGATTCACTCTGCCTTTCTACAAACAGCTGCTGGGTAAACCCATCACTCTGGATGACATGGAGTCTGTGGACCCCGACCTGCACAACAGCCTCGTCTGGATCCTGTACGTACAAAACCACAGTGTTGCCCTCTCTGTTTAAAACAGATCACACTCTTCCATATGCTTATAGAAACACAATACCCAAATTAAAACTTCTGTCCCACACTTTGATGACAGCGCCCCCTGTTGTTTATGAATATTTATTACACCAGTGGTCCCTCAGCACGTGTCGTCAGAACATGTGTTTGTTATCCCGTCAGAGTCCTCTCTCATTCAAGGTCGAGTTTAGATTAGAGAAGAGAGATCATACAGGGCTCAAAATGAAGCTCGTGAATACAGGAAGTGTTTCATATTAAAGTGTAATACCGTAAAATATGGTTTAGAGGCCCGTTTAATACCTCTGAGTTATACTTAAAGATTGCCTGAGATCATTCACACCAAGTTCTACAATTCTCTTAGCAGACTCTTTTCTCCAAAGCGACGTACATCAGAGAGTAAGAACAACACAAGCAAGGATCTAGAAAAAAGGGAACAATGTGAGTAAGAGCAAACGATCAGCTTTGAGTCTGATTGGACACACAGGTGCTGACAGGAAGTGACCAGAGGCAAAGCACAACATTGAGGGCAGTTCTTGAGAGCTCTAATCAGTATAGAAACCATCTTATAAGTCGTCGTTATCAAACAAAAACCATCGTCATTACCATCATCATCATCAATAATATGGAGACCATCATCATTAAGTTAGTAGGTATTCATGAAAGAGCTGGGTTCTAGTTGCTAATCATGCTAAGCTAACATTAACACAGGCCTTTCAGCCGGTGTGATGTGACTTTAAGAGCCTTTAAAGTCAGTGTGTACTTTAGCGGGCACAGGGTCGCCCCGTGATACCCGTGTTTTCATCTAAAATGTCAGCTACATCCTACAGAACCACGCAACCAACACGCGCTGTCATTACTGAGAGTGCAGCCGCCACCGCCACACACTGCACGCCACCTGAAAACTTCACCTCCATTCATTGTTGTTTACAAACTGTGGAGATACCAAAGTGACAGAGACTGAACTGACAGAGCGCCTCGTGTTGTTTCTCTCTCCTCAGGGACAACGACATCACAGGTGTGCTGGACCACACCTTCTGTGTCGAACACAACGCGTACGGTGAGATCATCCAGCACGAGCTGAAGCCCAACGGGAAGAGCATCCAGGTCACGCAGGACACCAAGAAAGAGTACGTCCGGCTCTACGTCAACTGGCGCTTCCTGCGAGGGATCGAGGCTCAGTTCCTCGCTCTGCAGAAAGGTTTCAACGAGGTCATCCCGCAGCACCTGCTGAAGGCGTTCGATGAGAAGGAGCTCGAGGTGCGTTGTTGTTTCTAACATACCGTTATTTCAGAGAATGTTGTTCACTTCCATGAACCCTCTCGACCTCCGCTGATGCAGCTCACAGGAAAGCCTTGTTTCAAAGAGCGTTGGTGTAGCGTGAATCAAAATTAACAAACAAGTAAAACGTGTTTCTCTGCTCGACCTGCAGCTGATCGTGTGCGGTCTGGGTAAAATCGACATCAACGACTGGAAGTCCAACACGCGGCTCAAACACTGCACTCCGGACAGCAACAGCGTGAAGTGGTTCTGGAAGGCCGTGGAGTCGTTCGACGAGGAGCGCCGAGCCCGGCTGCTGCAGTTTGTCACCGGCTCCTCCAGAGTTCCCCTGCAAGGATTCAAGGCGCTCCAAGGTAACGGCCAAGGATACAGAGTCTGAGGGAGGCGTGTTTGTGATGTTAATGCTCCTTTGACCCTGGAATTGTTATGCAGTTATTTTAAACGACTCCTCTATGTGTAAAACAGCTCAGTGTTTCAGTGTGAACTCTTTCTTTAGAACAGAGTGAGGCGTTTTGCATTTCTAAGGATACTAAAATGTTGGATGCTAATCGATTTTATTGATCCATACAGAGGAGTGGTAGAAGAGTCTTCACTGTTTCTTAGGTTTACACACATTGTCTCCCACTGTGAGGTGTGAACAACCAGGTCAGGAGAATCTCTGGAGCAGTCCTCCTGAAATCATCTAGATATTTTCAGGAGCGCATGTGAGAAAAGGGCTCAGGCTCTTGTCAGCTCAGTGTAGGGCAGGGGTGGGCAACTGGCGGCCCGGGGGCCACATGAGGCCCCCATCAACCCTCAATCAGGCCCTCAGGTCAATGTTTTTTGGAAACATGAAGAAAATATGACAAAATCTGCCATAAAATCATGAAAACCAGAAATATGTCCATAATAATATTTAATCAGCGGTATATGCTGAGTTGAATTTAAGACATAATCGACTGTAATCGTTTTTGTATCCTACAATTTGGCCCCCTGGCAGTTAGAATTAAATGAATGTGGCCATTCGGTTGCCCATCCCTGGTCTAGGGGGTGTGAGTGTTTGTTTGGGATTCTTGGCTCCTCCTCCTGGCTCTCTGTCTCTGGGTTTCTCCAGCCTGAGATGAACCCTCAGGCTGTGTGCGTGCGTGCAGAGCGAGGCAGTTCAGTGGGTCTGTCCTGGCACACGGTGCTGCCCGGAGACGGAGCACCGAGGCATGAGGAGAGCAGCGTGATCCACAGACAGACGGACAGACAGAAAGTCCTTTCTTGGTCAAACATCAGCCTACCTACACACACACACACACACACACACACACACACACACACACACACACACACACACACACACACACACACACACACACACTCAGAGTGTCCCCTGTCTTGTTGGACGATCGTATTGTTATTTATGATGCACCGGCAAAGAGTCAGACCAAATCCAAATGTTTTTGCATATCCACATTAATTTTAGAAAGCCTGTGAAGACAGAGAAAACTATTTTTCTACCATCTTGATGGAGAAGAAAATCACCTGCTATATTTGTTAAATGGTACGGTTTCTTTTCCTCGTTAACCCCTCGTCCTCAGATCTGAATATGAGGACTCTACAGCGTGCATGAAGGTCACTTCTGACTGAGCTGTTTGTTGTGTTTTCCAGGTGCTGCTGGCCCGCGGCTCTTCACCATCCACCAGATTGATGCCAGCACCAACAACCTGCCCAAAGCCCACACCTGGTGAGGAGAGCGTCATAACCCCTCTCTCTCTCTTGTTTGAATATTAGTCACACTTTGTACCTCGCTTTATAGATAATAATAAGACGCGTTGGTGTTTGCTGTGTGAGCGCAGAGTTTCTTTATGAAATCCTGCAGATGTTTTAAAATGATTCTCCTCGTCTGTTTCCTCAGTTTCAACCGGATTGACATTCCTCCGTACGAGCACTACGACAAACTTTACGACAAGCTGCTCACTGCCATCGAGGAGACGTGCGGCTTCGCTGTGGAGTGACTCGCTGACGCCGGCAGCAGCAGCGCTCAGAAACATCCAGAAGCGACACGGTTTGGTCCCGATGAGCCTCCTCCTGACAAAACCTGCCACTCAAGACGGGAGGAGGGTCACGCCCGGTTGCTTCTCTCCCAGGGGGACGCACACACTTCCTGGGGACATGTGGCCGAGCGGAGGGAGGGAGGGAGAAAACGTCACCAGACTTTTTTTTTATTTTCCTGCCCTCCTTTACGTCTCTCTCTCTCTTCAGCTGCTAATAACTCAGACTCTCTTACTAACTCGAGGAAACCTGCAAAACGTTGCCAGCTCTTCCCTTTTTTTTTTTTATAAGTTCATTTTAGCATTTAAACACACACAGACTGTACTCCATGTAGCAACGCTCCATCTTCCCAAACGGAACACAAGGTCGGCCCGCTCTGAAGCGACACGGACGAGACCGCTCTGCCTGGTTTGACTCGTCTTGTTAGAGTTCAGTCATGGTTACCAGCACGGCGTTTTGGAAGCAGAGCGTGCAGGACTCCGGCTGATTGGTGCTTCGGGTGCTGAAAAGTCTGAAAGAAAAAGAAAAACAAAGAGACGCTTATTAAAAACCCGAATGTTTACAACCCTCTCCAAAGACAGCAGCAGGATCGTCTGCCCGCTGATCCGCCGCCGCCCGACAACCAACGCTGCATTCCCACAAACCCTGCCACGTCCGACAGCTGGTTTGGTTTGAAGATGAATAAATGAATGCATAGCTTAAAGTGTGTTATTTTTATATAACGGGGGAAAAGAAAACAATACAATTCTATATAATATATATAATTTATTGCCATTATATTCCAGAAACCCCAGAACACACGACACACCTTTTATAAAGTTTAAATGTTTAAATTATAAAAGACAACCTGTGATGTAAGCTGTCTGCTCTCGTGCTGCACCAGGAGGGGGCGGAGCGTCTGAAACACGACTTCCTCTCTCTGAGTAGCGTCAACACGTTCCAGCGAGCGAGTCTTTGCAGGACTAAGCGGACCCTTTAAATCCGACTGATTTCATCCTGGAGCTACACAAAGTGTCCTGATGTTTTCCTGACAGGCCTCATTTGTAGCGATGTCACCACCTTTCATTTCTCCGTTTCAGAGGAGAATTTATTTCCTGCCTTCACTTTTTTTAGAGGAGGTGTTTATTCGCACGTCCAGCTGTCTCGTGCAGTCGGTGTGAAGGACATCGAACCATAATGTTGAAAAGAAACAAATCCTGCAAACTCCTCCTGCTCGGCATCAATAATTCATTAGATCTGACAACGTCTCCGTCCCTCTGAACCTCTAAGTGTGATCTCTTGTGCTCCTATCGCTCCGAGTATGGAGGAGAAGAACCTTAAGAGCCTTTCAGTCAAACGAGAGAGAGAAGAAGACGATGGGGAAATGCAAGTTTGAGGAAATCTAGCTTTAAGATGATAGATTTGAAATGGTTGGCGGGGTAAACGACGGTTATGAGGCAACTTGGAAGACGTGTGAAAAAAGCTTTTAAACTTACTTACTCGTACACACTGAAATGTAGCCGACGTGTGTGTCTCCTCCTCTGCTCTCTGTCTGACATAAATGCAACCTAAGCATCTTTTTCAGACGCCAAAAAGACTCCAAGAACGCCAGTATTTACTGACTGCTCTCTTTCTCTCTCTCTCTTTGTCTCGGACAGCTTTTGGTTAAAAATACAACTGATGGTCTGTCGGTTTTTTGAAAGCTTTGGTACTTTTTGATGCTAAAGATCATAAAAAATAACACAGATTGAATCAGTTGAAACAAGTGGTATTAAAAAGAATCAAAGTTTGCTCCATGTTCCTCTAACATGTGTCTCTAGTCCGTCTACAAACCCCTCAATGATGAGAAAAGTCCATCCTCTCCGTCTTCTGCCTGCTCCACTTTTCAGAAAATCTGTGCTCAAAGAGGCCGTTTGGAGATTTTCCCTTCATGACATCACAAAGGGCAGTAGCCCCTCCCCCAGGTGGGTGACACTCCCACAGCTAGGTGTTTGTTCTGCCCTCTGAGTCTGCCTTCTCACCGTAAACTACAGGACATGGAGCGAGAAAGACTGAGTACACCCAAGCCCTTCCAGGGAGGGGGGCGTGGACAGACACAGCTCATTTACATATTTAAAGGTACAGACACAGAAACAGCCTGTTCTGAGCAGGGCTGAAATAGAGGGGTTTATAGACATGATCAAATACAGGATCAGAGTGGATTTAGAACAAGAAACTTCACACACATGTTTTGAGGAGCTCTGAGACTTATTTAAACTGAAGAAGAAGAGGAGGATATGTCACCTTTAAAATGTTGTTACTTTCCGTACCATCGATCATTAAAATATCCGAGATTGTGTCGTTTTAAAAACACGTGATGTCAAAGTATTAAAGTGTGAGAAACACCTGCTACCTTCGATCCATCCATGGTGCTAAAAGCATTACCGTTTGTCTTTATTGGCGACTTTGCTCATCGACATACTACTGCTGAAAGTGCACAACACACTACTCGTGCTCGTACCGCACACCCAGCGCTCCACCTTTCCACTTCCTCAGGAGACGCCGTTTGTAGTTTGTGACGTCCGCCCGATGATGAACTCATTCAGTGTTTTGTTTCCTGAATGTTGCGGGATTGAAAACTTTTCACCATTTGCCCTGATTTAAGAGGGGGGGGATGTTTTTACTTTGAGTGAAGCGGGATTTGTTTTCTACGATTTAAAAAAAAAAAAAAAATGAAACTGTTGAATGTTTTCAAAAAGATGCTGCCTGTCGAGCAATCTCTACGACCGTGGACTGTTCTTAATGTTTGCGTACACTACAGAAGCAAAGCTAGGTGAGCGTGTATGCAAAGTGAAGCGTGTCCTCAGATGGTGCTTTGTACAGTTGTACAAAGATTGTTCATATGTGTGGATCAAACCGCCTGTAATTTATCTTTAACTTAAGTAGAAATGAAAAAAGAAAAAATGCACACAAACAGAGGGAGGTGACCGCGCCGCGTTAACGGCCACTTCTCTATTCATAGGCCTTTTTTCTTTTCTTTTTTTTTTTTTTCAAAAGTCCAGTGCACAAGCTGATGGCCCGACTCTCTGATCCTTCACGTCATCGCTCTCTCTCTTTGAAGAACCCGACTTTTTATTCACCGCTGAGAGACAGCGCTCTGTTTGTTTGTTCTCAATAGCATGATCCACTAGCAGGACTATATCTCTCATAGCAGACTGATGCAATTTGATGTATGTTAACACTATCATTTTGTAAGAGTATTTTATTTTTGTGTGTAATTAGTTCTAATTAAACTTGCCTTTTGTCTAACATTGTAAAGGCCTTGTACAAACATCTGTGCTGTCTGGTTTTTTTCCTGTCTCTGATTTTCTCTGCTCACACCCACGCCTGCTTCACCCTGAAAGGGCTCTGTACACTTCCTCGGCCGTGGCACGGTTGGAGGAGGTGTGCTGTGGCAGGGGCAGATCATGCACAAGCAGCCTCCATTATCGAGTTCTGGCTGCATCGACTGAAATGACTCAAAATAAAACACAAAGTCAGTAAAGTAGCCGTCATGATCTCTGTGCGTCAACTATTTTTATTTTGTTTAGTCCGCCTGTCTTGTAAACTAAGCACGCTTCCATGCGTGTTTAGTATTAAGATGTTATGTACAAGAGGTCACCATGCTCAGACCTGGTCAGTCCTGGAGCGGTGTGAGTGCAGGCCAGCGGGGGGAGTGGAGGGGTGGGGGGACAACTGGACCCAGTGTGAGTGCACCCTGATAAGAGACACACTTCAACAACAGAGCAACAGATTGTCACCTCCATCATTTACTCTAAGCACACATGGGAGCTAAACGCCGTCCTCCTCATGTCAGACAGACTTAGAAAACAGAGACAGGAAGGCTGCATGTGTAAAAAGAAAGAAGATGCATGACGGACGAGACGATTACAAACAGAACAAACCTGTTGAGAACCGGTTCTGTTAAAGAGCAGGGCGCTCAGTCTGAAGGGGCCAGAAGGTCACCAGGTTCAAGTCCATGTGTGGACCAGGTCTGGTAGCTGGAGAGGTGCCAGTTCACTTTCGGAACACTGCCGAGGTGCCCTTGAGCAAGGCACCGAACACCCGCTCATCCTGTGTGAGTAGCATGTTTTAACTACAGAGTGTACAAATTGAATTTCCCCCAACTGATCAGTCCCCTTTACTGCCACACTTTATTCATGTATCCAGGTGTTCCTGCCATTAGAGGAAGAGGATAAATCAGGGTTGCTGGGATTCATTCCTCACCCTCCTCCCAGGTGCAAAACTGAGTCCTTCATGTGCTACTTTGTGACCACCGCCATCCGACTGTACTACAGCAGTGGGACCGGCGGTCTGTCTTCAACATCTGAACGCTGACATTCCCCACAGCAGCTGTCACACATCGTCATACCCACGACTTGTATCACTGACTCCCTGGATTTTCATATTTAATTTATAATCATCTACGACTCTGTTTTTGCACATGTACATTCAATCTTCATATTTAATCTTCATATTTAAGACTAGTAATGCTAAGTTAAATCCTGGTTGTATATATTCACATTCTTAGTTTTGATATTTTTAGTACTTATTTACTTTGTATTTAATATTATATTGTGTTTAAATTTGCTAACATTGTGTTTTTTATTCATATTGTGTGTTTGGACAACCTGCTGCTGTAACGCCACAATTTTTCAATAAAGTAATTCTATTCTATTCTATCATTTCATAAACACTACACTGAGTTACAAACTGTTATTCATATCATACTTTTGATGCTTTTTATCGCTTTATCTCATAACAGGTCACTTTCCCTTAACACTCACTTCACAACATGTCTGAATGTCCTGTAGAGTTTTATTCTGTCTGGATGTTAGTGGTTAGTTTAAAGTATCTATTCTTATTTTATTTGCTATCTTCTGCACGCTCTTCTTCTCGTCTTTTTCACTGCTGCAACTCTTGAATTTCTTGAATTTCTTGAATTTCTTGAATTTGGAAATGGAATAAAAATGATAATCGACGACTAACCGAACCAGCTTCCATACTTCAGCCCCAGGACTTGAACCGGCCACCCTCCAGTTCCCAACTCAAGTCTCTCCAGACTGAGCTCCTCCATAACTCATTGTTCTTCAGATGCTCTCACTTGGGAATTATTTCTTATTCTGTTATTTGTATTTTATTGTTTATATTTTATATTTCTATATTTCCTGCTGCTACATTGTGTTAAAGAGAAACTGTAATGACAGAAATAAAGTTGTGTGAATCTTAAGCTGATGAAGGTTGTAATTTAATATAAATTATAATAAAAACGTCAAAAATACACACGGATAATAAAAAACAATCTCAAGAAATATATGTAATAATTTATATAACTAAAATACAATTCACTGAACGTCATGGAAAAGTCTCTTTAATGTTTGGGTTGGTCCGGATGACGTCACTTACCGGAACACATCGGAAGCACAGTCGGAGCCGAATCTCCCCGGCTCTGTTTTGTACATATCCATCCGCCGACTGTGATGTATCAAAAAAAAAAAAAAAGATCCTCCGCAGTTGAGTCCTTTAAATTATTTTACAAGCATTTTTTTAAAGGAAGTTTACGATGAAAGTATATTGAAACAAACGTTTCCGAATGTTTTAGGATCTACGTTGAAAAAAAATCTATATTAAAAGATTTCGATTTCTTACGTGTTAGAAACTATTTAATTGTATATTTTAATTTATACTCAATGGGAGGTTAGATTA